AAAATAGATTTTGTTTCTATTTGACTTCATGGGATAAATGCCATCAGTGAATAAATGTGTAATATGTGTTTTTTTTAATGTTGTACACCGCCCTGAGTCCTTTGGGAGAAGGGCAGCATATAAATCCAATAAACAAACAAACAAACAAACAAAGCATGGCTTGTTTCAGAAGAATAAAATAAATTATGCCATTGTTCACTTACAGACTATAACTTAGCTTAGCATGATATGGTAATTTGTTAATGGATGAATGTAGTTTATGATTACCAAGCTTACTCATGGCTTCCTTTTTTTCTTCTGCATCCTTAATGACCCTTAAAATCATTTATCAATCTTTATAATTTCAAAGCAAAAAGTGCTAAAAAGTTAAAGAAACCGAAATCTGTATCAAGGTTACATGTCTATAAAACTCACTCTGGCGTTTTTATAACATGTACAACAAACCATATCATGTGTTTATAGCAATTAGAAAATTATCACATGATATAGACTTCAATTTAAAAACATCTAATAGCTTTTAAATAATGGTCAAACATTAAAAGGTATTAATATTAATTTTAATGGTATTTATGTGGCATTATTACTATAGATGCAAATTATAAAATAAAACCACAGAATCGCATTTTAATTAGAAAGCAGAGTTTTTTGGGAGAGTGAGAAACAAAGGAAAATATCAAAATTGCATTCTGAAACAATAATGGTTAGAAAACTGGATTACAGTACAGCAATAATACAATAAAAATCAATTTTTTCCACTTCTGAAGAGTGTTCTGTAGTAGCATATAGACAAAATGAGTAAGTACAAGTAGATCCTCCATATGTCATAAGATAATATGTAGTATGTCCTCCATATGTTATAAGAACCTATTCCTGAACTTTATTTTTCAAAGATTTGCCTGGGGGAAATGTTAACCTCACCCAACCACGTGAATTATCATGCAATTTAATACAATTAGTACAAAACATGGATGGATCAGCTATGCTAAAACTGGAAGGACTTCACCAAAACAAATATCAGGTGCAAATATCAGCTGTGCTGATTTTTTCCCCAGAATCCCTGCCAAATACAGAGCTTGGTAGAAGATATATGGTTCAAATGAATGGCTAAAGTGGAGGGAAGGGAAAAAACAGTTCCTTTACAAAAAGCAGAATGACATGTTCTTTGGAAAGATGATTGATCATCCTTTGCAGACATGAGTTTAAGCAAGCAAAATTACTTGAAATACATGTGTACACTTAGAATTGTTTATACATTTGGACACTCCATAGAATAAATAGTACAGAANAAAATACCACTACCAGTTCAGCCAAACTGGGAGCAACCCACCTCTGGTTAGGTCTCTGTTCTTCATCTGTCCCATAGAATTCTGTTATTTAAAGTTTACAACATAACATCAAGATGCATCAGTGAAGGCCTTATTAATAGAGAGAGGGCTCACTGAAGGTCTCAAACTGTCCCGAAGTTCATGGAATATGGACCAGTTGGCAGCCCTATTTAGTGGTAGCCTTCGTGCTTTGGAGCACTTTTTCCCTTCAGGTAAATTTGGCATTGACTTTCCTTGCATATTGGCAAGGCCTAAGGCTATAGACTCAAACATTCCATTGAAGATCAGATGTGGCTAATTTGTTATTATTTCATTGCTGTAATGTGTGATGTTTCTTGCTTTGCTATATACTAAGCTGGAATGAATAGGTTGGTTTACAATCTTTAAAAAAAATAATCATATATAGAGAACCTTGAGTTGAAATTTATTCAATTTATTTCTACTAAAATGCTGTTCTCTATGATGATCTGCCTAAATAAATCACCTCAGTTACAAATGCATGCATTTCTTCATTATCTTTAGCATCATACCTTGGGACTAAGCTGTCTCCTCCTCGCAGTGTGGTGGGATCAAGCTCAAAGATGGAAGAAATGTCATTTCCTTCAGGCACAGAAACTAAAGAGTATGCCATCTTCTCTGAAGTATTATGGAGTCCTCTTCTATCTGCATCTTGGTCAGGATCCATCTGTGTAGAGAATTTCAAATCAGACAAAATTGCAAAGATTTTTCAGATACAACCATGAAGTGCTATGCAGAAGCTCAGTGTGGGAATTCACACTTCCAATTCAAGTGTAGACATAGAAACCATATCACGCTAAGGAATAATAGATGGAAACTGAACAAGGAGAGATTCAACCTGGAAATAAGGAGAAATTTTCTGACAGTGAGAGCAATCAACCAATGGAACAGCTTTGCCTTCAGAAGTTGTGGAGCTCCATCACTGGAAGCTTTCAAGAAGAGACTGGACTGCCATCTGTAAAAAATGGTGTAGGGTCTGCTTGAGGGGTGGGGTGTACTAGATGACCTACAAGGTCCCTTTCAATTTTGTTAATCTATATCTGTATCATTAACTCTCAGGATTTACTGTAATCAATCTTGTACAAAAGCTACCATCAAGCTCAGTTGCTTCTAACTCTTGAATAAGTTCATATATTGTGCTAAAGCAAAATAGATTTTGTTTCTATTTGACTTCATGGGATAAATGCCATCAGTGAATAAATGTGTAATATGTGTTTTTTTTAATGTTGTACACCGCCCTGAGTCCTTTGGCAGAAGGGCAGCATATAAATCCAATAAACAAACAAACAAACAAAC